TAGCTTTTGGTTGGGTACAGTGGCACATTCCTGTAGTCCCAGTGAGGCCAGGGATCACAGGTTTGAAGCCAGCCCCAGTGACTTAGTGAGGCTCTGAGCAACCTAGCAAGACCCTGTCTCTAAATAAAAGATAAAAAGAGCTGCGGATGTGGCTCAGTAGTTGAGTGCCTCTGGGTTCAATCCCAGGTACAAAAAAAAAAAAAAAAAAGGATATTGGGGCTTGTTTTGTTTTGAGACATGAATAGAAGAATGTTTTACTAAAATATAGCATAGTAGTCAACATACAAAGCAAAATAAAATACAGAAAAACAAAATAAATACCTCAAGCCCCAGTATTTACAAAGTCCCTGTACAGTTTATTATGTCTTCACTACAATGTGCCGTATCAGGAGAAGCCTAAATTTTTTTGGTCTACAATAAAATACATATAAAGATCCTAAGCCTTGTGACTTAGGATCTTGTTGGGACTGACATGAAGTCCAGTGGATGAGGCTCTTATTTGGATTTTGTTTTGTTTTTCGCAGGTGGTGTTTGACCGTTTGAAAGGCATGGCCCTAGTTCTTTACAACGAGATTGAATATGCACAAGCAGCTGTAAAAGAGACCAAGGGGAGGAAACTCGGTGGGAATAAAATTAAGGTGTGCAGAATGACGATAGCAAAAGCAAAACAAAATTGTATTCAAATCTTCCCGTGTTAGTAACTTCCTGTGTTAGTAGGTTGTCAGCAAGGGGGTGGGTTTACAGGACATGGTTTATGTGTATGTCCTCACTTTTTAGGGGGAATATTAGGATTTGTGTGCTCAGCTACTTGTGGGCACAGCTCTCTTAAACCATTAGTCACAGATCCTTCCCTAAAACCCATCTTGATTCAAAGAATGCTTCTTATTGCTGTGGGTGCATGATGCTCCTGTGTGCACTCTCAGTAGAGGCCCATCCATAGTTGCACATGTACACCGTGCTCACCCAGGGGTACAGAGTGTCAGTCGGCTTCCTGAAGGATCCCATCTTCTTTTCCTAAAGAGCAGGTAGCCACTGTAAGCATGATATTTTTATCTGGTATTATTTGTTTAAAACCTTGATGTTCTTGGTTGTTTGGATGAATTGTGTATTTAATATCTGATGACTACATTGGAATAAAATAGTAACAATATTAGCCAATAATCTTCATATGCTTTAGTGACTTTGAGCTCACCTGTGAATAAAATTTAAATGTTCTTTTCCATTGTTTTATGTTGTAACTATTGTTTCAGCAAATTTATGTAAAACCAAGATTGCTGGAATATGATTGATCTGATTATTGCCAACCTACAACCCTGGTAGGGTTTTGATTCAGTTTTGTTTTACGTTTTCCATTTCTTCTGTTATTGGGTTCTGGAACTTTAAATTACATTTATCAAGATTTGTTTAGAATTTGAGAGAGATCATGTTACCAAAATATATTATTTTAATTAAGAGCATCATTTCTCTTGTTAAAGATTGATGTTTCCTGAAATTTGTCCAGAAGGGATATGTTGTGACAAATTTTTACATTCAATAATATTTTCTATAATTAAAATCTGAAACTAGTGTCAAATTTCTTTTTTTTTTTTTAAAAAGGTGGATTTTGCAAATCGAGAAAGTCAGCTGGCATTTTATCACTGCATGGAAAAATCTGGTCAGGATATCAGAGACTTTTATGAGATGTTAACAGAAAGGAGGTATGTATTTTAAACATATTAGCATAACTTGAATCTTAATACAAATGAACATTGGGATTAAATTTTATTTTCATAATTTCCATCTCCCCCAAATTTCTTTTTGTAATATGGAAACATGGTTTCATTTTGTGTACTGGTCTGTGATTTGAACCTACAGCCTTGCATATGTTAGGCAAGTGTTCTACCACTAAGCTACTTCCCTGGCCCTTTAAAA